AATGATGAGAAATGCTGCAGCAATGGATGTGGACATCAGTGTACGGCTGTATCTAAAGGTATGTTATACTAATTCATTGGTCAGCTTTTCCCCCCCTATTACAGTGATCGAGGCATTCAGTGATCTGGTTTCCCTGTTGTGTGTTTGTATAACAGTAAAGCCAGGAATGTGTCCAAGGAGATTCCTTGGAGTAGGATTGTGTAAAGGGTTGTGTGTCAATGACATTGACTGTCCGAAAGATCAAAAATGCTGCCGCACTAAATGTGGACGTGAATGTACACCTCCATTTAAAGGTATTTGTTATATTGATGCTTGGGTCCCCAACACACCGTTTTTGAGTTTTATCATTTTCAACGGCAAAACAACTGAATTTGGCCCATAGCACCATTTTCAAGCACATGGCTTTTCAGAATGATTAATACTCTTTGAAATACAACTTGCTCTAAAAGTAAAACTTGTTCATGCTTTCAGTGTTTTGATGTGTTTGAGTTTGAATGCATCTAAATGAACAGAATAATTCTGACTATCTGTATCCATGCAGTGAGGCCTGGTCTATGTCTCAAACCAAATGTGTGCTGATAACTCTTCCCATGATGATCAGTATGCTGCCAGACAGAAGTGTTGCCCAACCACCTGTGCATGCAGCTAACCATGCCAGTTTAGCCATCGGGAAAAAGTCCTCGATTGTTCGCTGCGTTTTTCTTTTTCTTTTTTTGTCCATGCTATACTTGATCTTTTCAATTCATTAAATCTCATAGCTTAGTGAAACTTCTGTGTGTGTGTGTATAAATAATAAATGTTGTTGGGGTGAAGTACAAATCTACCAGAAATAAACCAAGAATGCGGGGTAACCCTAACGGGAGAGCAATGTAGTATGTGTAAACACTGGTTTAATGGTTTTGAAAATTTAGTATATAGCGAGTCAATATGCCTCTAAACACTCCAGATTTGGTGACTTTTTTTAATATAATCTAGTCCTGATGACTAATATGCTTGTATATTAATGTATGTATACTTATATATAATGTACTTTTGACTCATTCTTTTTCTTAAAATTTGATTTAAAAGGCTAAAATGTTAAGTTGATCATTTTATAAAACGGATTTTGTGAAAACATACCCTGCTCACAGGTAATTTGTGTAGGTCTTCAAAAAGGTTTTATTTATTTTTTTCCTTTTCAAGCAAGTAGTAGGCAGCTGACTAAAAAGGTAATCGATAAACCCTGCACCCTCTGACTAAAATCAGACGGAAGCACCAGAAAAGACACAAACAGAATTCCTTTTCCCCTTTCTTTCTTTCTTTGCTATACTTGATCTTTTAAATTCATTAAAAATAAATCTCAGCTTAGTGAAACGACGGTGGAGTTTGTTTGTGTGTTTTTTTTTTTTTATATATATATATGAATGTTGTTGGGGTGAAGTACAACTCTACCAAAAATTAAACCAAGATTGCAGGGTAACCCTAATGCGAGAGAAGTGTTATATTTGTGTAAACACTGGTTCAATAGTTTTGAAAACTTTCAGTATTTAGTGAGTCAATATGCCTCTAAAAACTCCAGAATTGATCTTTTTTTTTTTTTTAAATATAGTCCTGATGACTAATGTACTTGATACTTTTGACTCTTTCTTTTTCCTAAAATATGATTTAAAGACTAAAATGTGAAGTGTATAGTTTTATAAAACTGTTTTTGTGAAAACCTACCCTGCTCACACAGTATGAAGTGTATTTGTGTAGGTCTTAAAGGTTTCATTTCTTTATTTTCACTTTTTTTTTTTTTTTAAACGCGCAAGTAGTAGGCAGGTCACTAAACAGGTAATAGATAAACCCTGTATAACACCTAAAACCCAATGGGCGCGCTTCAGGCGCAGCAGGACATTGTGTCAGGTTTTAGTGATGCATGCCACTGAAAACCGGAACTGTGCGTCAGATGTCATTCCTCTTAATATTAAAACTGCCCCTCCGTCTTTGCCTCTGTCATTTTCATTTTGTCTTTCCTTTTATGCCTGATAAAGTAGCTTGCATTTACAAGTCTGTGGGGAAACACTGTCTGTCAACAAACAAAAAGCATGCTTCAGAACGGTTTTGAGAAGGTGCTTAAGTTTTGATCCATGTATTACTATGAATTAGGCTGCTACTACTATTATCATCCTCTTGTGCCCTGCAATAATCATTTACTCAAACTCTCTTTTATGAGATAAAGGGGTAAAAAAAAAAAAAACGGCCAAAAAAATCAGCATCATATATCCGCCATCAGTTGCCCTGATTTCTAAATATCTGCATCGGCCAGAGACAAACCCTTGTCAGTCGACCTCTATTGCTGACTCTTAAGTTAATTGTTTTGCCACTTTTGCACTTGGTATTAAAAGGGTCATATGATGCGATTTTAAATTTTTCCTTTCTCTTTGGAGTGTTACGAGCTCTTGGTGCATAAAGAAGATCTGTAAAGTTGCAAAGACTAAAGTCTCAAATCCAAAGAGATATTCTTTATAAAAGTTAAGAGTCAACCACACCTACCTAAAACGGTTCGTTCTAACACGCCCCCACATATCTACTTCACTATGTGGGAAGATTTGCATAATGCCACCCAAATGTTCACGCAAAAAGGCGTAGCTTTTATTCTGGCTGTTGTATTTTTGCTGCCGCCATGTGAATGCGCTGTGTGATTCGTTGTGAAAGCGAAACTACTTTGTTTGGCCTTCCAAAAGAGGACGATATCTGCTTCGTCATGCCTAGAGCTGATCCGTGCTGGTTGCTGAGGAAATACAATTTTGCGCTGTGGATCGCCGGATTGGTTTTCACCGTGGACTAAGCGGAGTCCAGCCCGGAGTTGCCGCAAGCCTCCTTCGTCGAATGCTCACTTGAATGCTCCTCTGCTCACTCAGCCTGCCGGCCATTCCTCACTTTATCCCCCGGCCTCTGCTCACTCAAGGCCGCCGTGTGTGACGCTGTTTCGTTGTGAAAGTGAAAATGCTTCGTTTGGCCTTCCAAAAATGGACACGACTAGAAATCAGTGGTTAAGTTGTATTTACAACACTGTTCCAGAACACTTCAACCCAAATACTCAGATGTGTGCAGCACATTTTATGGAGGACTGTTTACTGTTCCTGGTAGAGTAGACTACAATTCTGGCTGTTCTGACTCAAAGACTGTAAGTATGTTTTTTATATTTAAAGAGTTTTTATATTATATATTTAAAGCAAGTTTTTTTGGGCATTGTAGAGTAGCGCTTGTTTGTCATTTCTCCGATCACAAATGCAAACCGCATAAACACATTTCATTACACCAAATACACAAAATAATGTTCTTTTTAGCAGCAGCATATGACCCCTTTAATGTATTTTGAATGCAAAGGGCACTTTATTTTTTTCCAAAAAATAATGTTTATTTGTTATGCATGCGGTGTATATTTATTAAAAACGAGTTTTGTAATAACCATTTGTTCCGGTCCGGACCTTTGACACTGATGAAAATTCAGATTTGGACCTTTGAATGTTGACTTTGAGACCCCCTGGTGTAGACTGTTTGTGAAGCTGTTTCAAACATAAAGCTTACATGACCGATGTGATTGTAATTTCAAAGGTTTAATAGACATAGCGGAATCGTCATTTAGGAATAAGATCACACGTGTTTGAATCGAGATTGCGATCTTTTAATTATTCATTGTGCATACATGATCCTATAGACTATGTATATTTGTTATATAATAGGCTACCTCAAAAGTAACCCGGGGCCCAGGCCTCCTCTGCAACCCATGTATGTATGTATATATGTATAGTCGCGGGGTGAATGAGAACACTGATCGAAAGAGCCCCGGAGGGTGATTTATTGCCCACACACTGATCACACGTGCTCTGAGGAATGGTGCTCGGTGCCCGTCTCAGCCTGGAGCTCTGGGGTGCCTTCCCAGTGGTGTCTCTTCTCCTGGCTTTTAAGGCCAGCGGGAACGAGCTCCAGGTGCGCCACTCATCGCGCACAGGTGTTGTGCGTCGGTGATCAGTGTGGCAGAGGCGTTTCCAGGGCGACGCTAATCTGGACTCGGGATACTCGCCACAATATATATATATATATGTAGAGATGCAATGGTTCAGGTTTTGCATGGTTCATTACATATTGCGGTTTTGGGGTCACGGTTTCAGTACGGTTCGGTTTGGGGGTGCATGGGGCCAAAGTGAATATACACTATTATTTGGTAACAAACACTTGAACAGTTTGCCTTACCTTCAGAAAAGCTTTTTTAAAAATCATTAAATAAACATTTTTACTAAGCAGTTTTTTGCTCTACATTGATTGGCAAAAACAACTGTTATAAACAGTACTTTTAACATAAAAAGGAAGCAGAAGAACAAGGTAAATTCACAAATTATAGATAAATGGAAACAAAGAAAAAAATCAACTGGTCAGAGGTAGAATGTTCTGTAGGAACACATTCAGTGTTCTGAACATAGTTCACATGTTACTATCATTTTTTCTGAAAATACAAGGGACTATTAAATATAATCTCATTCATAATAGAGAAATAAAATTTAAAGTCCAATTTGCTTGCTTGATGTTTAATTGCATAATGAGTCACTTTGGAATATAAGCCACAGCACATTGCAGATGATAAAAAATGCAACTTATATTTCAGAAAATATGTTACAAGATGTATGTGTAACAAGTGGTTCCCCGCATTATTACAACAAAACGTCTTGTGATTACAGTAGCAATGGAGCAGCTCTAATGTGTACTGTGCTATTAAAATAGAGATGAAATACGATAGAACAGGGTTCCTCAAATCTTGCCCTGGAGGGCCAATGCGCTGCAGAGTTTAGCTTCAACGCTGATCAAACTCACCTACCTGTGATTTTCTAATGATCCCGAAGACATTGATTAGTATGCTCAGGTGTGTTTGATTACGGTTAGAGTTAAAGGCTGCATTCGAAACCGCATACTTCCATACTATTTAGTAGGCAAAAAGCAGTAGGCAAAGGAAAATGCATGAAATCTCAATATCCACAAAAGAGTAGGCGAGATTTACCTGGATGCAGCACTATTTCTCGCGAGATTCGGGCGTACTCATACTTAAGTATCGTTCAAATATGCCTACTTACCTACTATATAGTAGGTGAAATGGGTATGTTAGAAGAGTAGTATGTCCGAAACCACAGTATTCATAGAGTAGCCGAGAGATCCCCGAATGGCCTACTGCGTCCCGTCCAGACTCCGAAGTGCCGATCGCGGGATATTTTTCTATCCCACAAAACCAAGAAGAGAGGATGCGTCTAATCTGCCGCAAATCCTTAAAAAGAAGAAGAAGAAGAGGAGGAGGATACGTCATAATCGAACATGGAGAAGAACGAGGATGTTTTCAAATGTGAGTATTAAAAACCAAAAACATGGTTTCTTGTGTTAAAATTGCTTTTTTTTTTAACTACTGTAAAGTAAACTGTTGAAGGTGTTTGCACAGATATTATAGTATATTTGTGATTTTGTTGTAAAAACGTGTTTATTTATAGCATCAGCAACTGCCTCAACATTTCTATGTACTCTCTAAAAATAAATGGTGCTAAAGAGCACTAAAAGTGGTTTGCCGGCTCGTAATCATAGGGGAACCATTTTTTATTAAAACCATATTAGGCTAATAGTAGGCCTATAAATAGTTAAAAAATAATAGAAATGTTCTAAATGAGTTGTTTATTTGTATATAATATAGATTAATGCTGTAAAATATAAAAATAAATGTATAATACTTATAGGGCAGGGTGGGCTAAGATTAGCCATCTTTTATT